CCCGGCGATCCCGGGAGCCGGAGCCGGCAGGGGGGCGCCCGGGGCTTCCAGCGCAGCGGGAACACCCGGTATTTGCAAACCGGGCACCCTTCACCAGGGACCCGCAAGGGATGGTCAAGGTCAAGGTTACCGCGACAGCTTTTCGCGTGAAGATCCGCCCTTGCTCTCCCTACCTTCCCGCTCCAAATTGAAGACTGCTTATGTTCCTAAAGGGAGAGGAATTGCGCACACCTTGCCGACATTCCCACTCCACCTTGCAGACACTTCTAGACAGCCTGGAAGCCTGAAGGTTAAGGAACACAACCCACTTCCCACCGGACGCCTCGGAGCCCGGTGAGATGCCACATCCCAGGGGAAGCGAGCGGAGCCCCGGTGGCTTTGGCCTGGCTCCAAGACACGTCTCATTCACCAAACAGAGGAATAAAGCAGCAGGGCGGCCTCCCTCCAGCCTGGGGGATGAGGCAGCTCAGGGCTGCTGCAAAAATTAGAAGGAAGAGGAGCAGCTAAATCACACAGAGAGACACTACGGGAGCAGCAGCTGCAGCCTGTCAGCCAGGTGGTCATCCTCAGCTGCGGGCGAGAGGGACAGGAACGCCAGCCTTTCCCTTGCAGACACCTCCTGATTCCAACCTTCCGGCGAAAACACCTCCTTTTCCCACTGCCTGCATGGATTCTAATTAATCCTCATGCTCTCAAAATACACTTTGCCAATTAAAAGCTGGGATGGGAGCATTTAGGTCGCATAGGGGAAGCGATGCTCGGTCAGCCTTTTCAGCAGCACGGGTATGGATCCCGCAAAGTCTGCGCCACGCTGTCTTGCCCTGAAGAACTGGGGCTGCTTTCCATGTCTCTGGCTCGCAGGGAGGAGATGTGAGCGCTCCCAACATCCCACACCTTGAGCTTCACCCAGAGAGGAGTCTGTGTCTCACCAAGGGAGAGCCCTGAGCGCAGGGACTGCTTCACGCGGTGCACGAACATGGGACCAAACCAGAGCAGCAGCAGCAGCAGAGAGCTGCAAGGAGGCAAAACAGAGCTGCTCCTGGTGCCTTCCGTGGCCACTACCCTCCTTGCACTGCTACCCAACTCCCTGCATGGACACGGCTGCTTCCCGACACATTTGCCGTGCCGACTACCTCAGAAGGCCTTAGATATTAACAGCAACTAAAACAGTTTACAGAAGTATCAAAACCTTAACACAGGCCGGCTCTTCTAGTTCAAAATTCACACTGGAAGCTGGTTTCTGCTTTCTAAAAACACTACATTATCTAAGTATATTTCCCTCTTCTATATATACTTGAAGGTGTGGTTAGAAAACTGCAGCCAAATTCTTCAAGGATTTCTAGTTTCCATATCAAGTTCAGGGCTGCAGCGTATTTATGTTAGCATTTTCTGGAGAATACACTTCATTAACTTCTGTGGCAAGAGCCTTGGTGGTCTCCTCCTCGCTGACTCCGGCCATTGCTGCTTCAATCGCTTGCAAATTACTTCCAGCTGGGTATCAGTTACACGGAGATGGAGAATTTTTATAACATTTATAAATAGTGCAAGAGTCCTGCAGAAATATGATAAGTGCACCCCGCAGCAGCGGGGTTGCGAGCGGGGCCACGCGCAGCACACGGCCGAGCCCACAGGCCCTGCACGCCAGCCGCAATCCCTCGGTTTTCCCGGCTCCTGACGTTCAGGCACCCGGAGGCACCCACGCTCCGATGACCCCCGCCAATTCGATGCTCCACATGGGAACCCGCCACCGAAACGGGGCCGTTTTCGGTGACTCGGGAGGCCTCTCGCACCCGGCCTCCAGCTGCGCTTCCCGACGGCCGGCGCTCCCGGATCCGCCGGGTGGGCTGGCACAGCTAAGCCAGGCCTGGTGCCGGCCTCGCGGGGCTCACGGCATTCCCGGCAGCCTGTGGGACCTCTCCTTTGCTGTAGGCATTTCATTCTTGGGAAAAGCTCGAGATGGAAAAATTACTCCTAACGCAGGCTTCAGCGCCGCTTAGCCTGAGCTCTGTCTCCTTTTTCCTTTGGCACGAAGCTGCACACCCAGGTCCCTGTGCTGGAAAAGAAACTTTGCTAGGGCCCGGTAGTCAGCATTTGAATCCGTTCCACTATAAAAGTAATCCAGGAAGAGGTTTTGAAAAATTATCCTCGAGTGGAGAGGGAAAACGGTACTTGTCCAAAGGGAAGTATGGCCATTTGTTTCATTCTGTTAACAGCCAGGCAAAGTAAAGCCCAGAAAAGCTCTGTTCCCTGCCCCACAGCAAAGCAACAGAGCCCAGCAGAAACGTGCCCTGCTCGGAGGCAGCCACCACCCCGCTTTTGTCCATATTTACTTTAGTTTCATATTTACTCTAGCCTGGCACAACCCCTACAGAAGAACGTGGACCGAAGCAGAGAAATCAGAGTGGGCTTGGGTTGGCTCTGCCAGCTCCCTGCGGAACCCTGCAGAAGTAATGGGCTATCACCCAGCACATTGATTTTATTGCAATTTTTTTTTCAGAAGCTGCTTAGACTTATCAAACAAGCACATTAGCAACGATTTGAGGCTTCTGGGCGCTCAGATGCCATTGCGAGCTTGGCACTTTTGTGAACTCAGTGCTGGGGGACAACGAGGCCCACGCAGCAAACGGTCCCGGGCAGCTGGCGCAAGGCTCGGGGCTGAAGGCTCTGCCCTTCCTCTCCCGACCCACCCCAGGGTTTATGGAAGTTGCACAACACACGCACCCGCCATCAGGCTTTATTGCTTAATTACTGCTGGGAAAAACACAAGGCTCCCACAGTCAGGTGAAGCTGGGGGTGGGATGGGGGAGAAGAGGCTTGTTTGGTTTTTAAACAGGGGGGATGGAAACTACTGAGGAGCTTGGGAGGAAGATCTGGACTAGAACTTGAGAAAATAAAATGCAGAAATACCTTAGCACATATAAAGCACAAAGGCAGCGCTGGTCAAAACCAACCCTGCACCAACTAACCCTCTCCAGCCCCAACGTTTTATTTTTAACGTTATAGGCTCCTCACGCCATGCCGTAAACTGTGTCCCCGCCACACGTGCACAGCCTGAAATCCTGGCGAGTCCTCATGAGATATTCCATACTCTGCTGTGCCTTTAAGCAGAGCCTGAGACCACAGGAACGAGAAGGGACCAGAGCCTGCTAGGCATGCAGGAGGGTTCTGCACACACATCCCACCGGCATAAACAAATAAATCCATCTGCCTTTCACGGAGGTACTGGCCTGAGCCAGAACTGCTTAAAAGACAGTGAAAATGGAGATATTTAGGAGTAGAAGTAACAGCAACCAGGATATACCAGGATATGAGAGACACCAAGATCCTAAGCAGGGGGAGAACACTCTCAGACTGACAGACTCTGAAAACCTGACAAAAAAACCCAGGGACAAGAGGGAACCTCTGCAGGGGAAGGGACGAACAAAACGCCCCGTGCCTGGCGCAGCCCCTGCACGTGCGGCCCCCCTTCCAGGGCATGGGGCACGCTGCTCCGTGAGCCAAACCACGTGTATCTTATGGAAGTGGTGCAACAGCTCTCCCGCAGCTCGATCGGAAACGATGGCACCCGCGCACCTCCGTGTTACCTCTGGGCATTAGTCTGTGTCACCCCTGCAGTCATCACCAAAACGATCACAGAACGAAGCCCCTCGCGAGCTGCATTCGCCGTTCCGGTTTCCAAACACGCACAGGACTTTCCTCCCTTTTTAGCAGATGTAATTGCTTTTCATAGCTTGGCATTATTTCCCCACCCATTTCCCTGTACACCTATTGCTGCCATTGCTAGCAAAAGCTTCATTTGAGGGGAATACTTACAGCTCTTCCAAGTAAGGGAAGTTCTTGAACGCGTCCTCCGGAAGCCTCGTGATGTTGTTCATGCTGATATCACTGCAAGAGAAGAGATAAAGGCACGTCAGCGTGAAGAGAGGATGGATTTTCACAAAGAAAGCCTACTCAGATGGTAGGGTGATAGAAAGAGCATTGTTGCATCCAACAGCAGCAGCGTTTCCCACTTGCAAGCTGAATTTCCCCAGCATGGGAGATCCAGCCGCACAAAAGGCCGACACGGCGAAGAGCTGAAACAAAATGTTTGGAGATGCTGGTGAACACGAGAAACGCCAGCCCAGCCGCAGGGCCACGCGTGCTGGGAAGAGGCTCAGCAGCTCGTCTGCACCGAGCTGCACATCCACGCAGCCTGAACACGCACAAAAACCACTGCAAACAGAAACGATAAATAAAGACTGCGCGTGCTGCGACGGGAGATGCAAGAGAACAAGTCCACCAAAACACCCAAAGAGCCACGGCCTTGAAGCTGCTGCAGCCCCAGAGGCCTCGTTTGCAGCAAAACCTCACGCGACCCTAAGCGAAATAAGGGCTATATATATATATATATATGTATATATATATATATACATACACACACACACACACACATATAGTATGGTTGACATCCAAGCGCCACATAATTCCAGCTGGGATGGGAAATCAGCACAGAACTTCCTGGCGAGGAGCAGACCAGGAGCGTTTGGACACTGCGCAGACTGCCTCGGTCGGGACAAGCATCGCCCAAGCCCACAGATGCTGCTGATACCTATTTTTCAGGGAAACTGCATTTAGGACTCGGAGGCGGCTTCTTGCACAGGCCCAGCCTGGTCTTTGCAACCATCTCCGAGTTCAGGAAGAAAGAACACGAGCTGCAGCCACAAAAGCAGGGCACAACACGGGGGAAACGCACGCTTCCTGCGGAGGGAAAGTAGGGAGAAAGCACCAATAATGCGGCCCGGGATAGACGCACGGAATGAGAGCTAAAGAGCCACAGGGACTAACGGGCAGGCAAGGACACAGCTGGGGCCACTCTGCAAACCGAGGGACATCCCGGGACAGCCAGGGCCACTCTGCAAGCAGAGGGACATCCCGGGCTCCGGGAGGAGGGGAGGGAGACGGGAGTGTTTGCTCCGGGAGAGCGGATCGTGTTTCAACAGGGCACCTTTCAACCCGGGCGAATCCTCCCCGCGATCCAGCTCGACCTGTTTGCTGATAGATAATAGCAGGTAATACTGCAGGCTCCGCTCTGTCTTTTCCACGGTCTGGGCCCTCTGCCACCACGTTATTTAATTATAACACTTGCAAAACGATTTAGGCAGAGTTATCTATATTTGAATATAGCCCTCCTACATACTTGTACGGGAGACATTAGGTAAAAGGTCTTAATCTTACGTAAAATCCCCCGGGTGGTAACCTCCATCCAGCTCCAGCGCGAGGAGGAAAAGCTGGAGCTGCTGCTGCTTTGCACCCCACGTTGCGTAAACCAGGTCACTGGAACCCAACTCGGCGCCACGCCAGGCCCCCCGCTGCCCCAGGGCCCCGAGTCTGCGCATGGAGGCACCTCGAGGACCCCGGGCACGCAGCAAAACCCCAGCGCACGGCGCAGGCAGGCGGTGGGACCACCGACAGCAGGCCAAGGAGCATCAGGCCAAGGCAGCGAGGCGCTTGGAAAGGGTTTCACCAGGCAATTGCAAAGCCCCCTTTTCCCCCCCTCTTTTTGCCTTTTGCTTTGCTCATAGGCCGAGCGAGCAGGGCCTGGCAAACCCAAGCTGGGGCAGTGCCGGGCAAAGGCTCCCAAGGAGACGACGACGATGCCAACGCGTAGCCGGAGCAGAGCCCGCAGCTCCACCTTCCGTGGAGGCACCACGAAATCCCCCCGTGAGCCGCACCGAAGGCTCTTTGTCATATTCAAAGTCAATAGAGCTGATGGCTGTTTGCAGCCGTGTCAACAGAAGGAAGCAGCAGCAGCGCCGGGGAGCGCGGCGGCTCCGAGACGACCTTCCCTCCGCGCGCGCTTCCAGGAGGCAGCGCAGGGCGCTCCTGTAAAACCCAAGGGGCCGGGAAAGCGCTCAGCTCGCCCTCTGCACCCCAAGGACACCACCTCTTGGAGCAATAATACTGGTGCTTTTTGCACTGTCTGACAGAGCAAATCCATCCATCCATGCTGATGGAAAAGCAACGCTATCGCTATGCACACATACATACTCTATATAACCCCCTCCCTGACGTCTTTTCATCCCATTGCAACGAGGGAAGGTGAAGGGCCACAAATCCAGTTCCGTCACAGCGCTGGCCTTGGGAGCTCTGTGGAATTTGATGCGTTTTCTTCTCGCTTATTTTGGGCTCCCAGTCTGTCCCACCCAGTGTTTAGACAGCAACCCGAGCCTCCAAAGCCTCTGCAAGCCCTGCAGTTTTAGAAGACTGCAGAGAGAGGAAGGAGAAAAAAAAGGAAAGCATCTGAGCACAAGCAGCTACGCCGGGACACAAAACGTAAACATTTCAATCACTCTCCAAACACATGCACAATAGTTTCGCATTTAAGAATTCCTTCCCCCCCGCCCTGCCCCCCCTCCAACTTCCATATAGCTTGGATGGAACTAAAACGTATTTCTGGCCAAAGGGCTTTCATTGCAATACAGGGTGACAATTATCTTTGTGCTGTGGGAAAACGAGACGCGCACGACGCCGCTTTGCCCTGTCAGAGCGCATTTCATGGCAGCCCCTACCCCGGCCTTTATAGGGCCAAACACGCTTTCATGCAGCAATTTTCAAGGCATTTTCAAGCAGCCGGCCAAGCAGGAGCAAGATTGTTTTGTAAAGCAGAGGTTTTGAGAGCTTTTTGGTCACCAGTTACTGCATAGCAGTCCAACGGGAGCGTAATTCCCGGTTTAAGGCGTTTGGAGGATTAAAGTTTTCCCAAGCTTCCAGTGGGAATGTGTCCATGTCAATGCCCATGGGTAGGAAGGCACCGACTACAGGCGCCCTGTTCTGCAGACGGGTTCTTTTCCTCTAGGGAATCCAACCCGAAGCACAAACCCTCCTCCTTGGGCACGAAGGGACGGCCCAAGGAATGACCTCGCTTGGCTCCCACCCTCCAAAGTCGCAGCAAAAAGGCAACATAAAGCCACGTGATGCGGCTTTTCTTGTCGTGGCGCTGCTACAAACCGCAGTTTTAGCGGGGATTTTGGGGAGCGACGCAGACAGGCCCCCTCAAAGCACCTGCTACAAGCACCGAGGCGCCAGCCACGAAGCCCAGGCGCTTTCCAGCGCCTCCGACAGCGACGGGCAGCCCCGAATACGCGGAACCCCCCTGCAACCCCGCCGAAGCCAACAGCCTTCCCGAGCAGGAAGCCCCTCCGCAGCTGCCCCGTGGAAAAGAGAGCCAATAATTGGCTTCCTTCGCCTCCGCTGAGCAGGAACAAAAGTGCCATTGAGGTCCCCACGGGGACAGACTGCGCCCCGGGCCGCCGCCGAGGGGCTGCGGTGACGAGGAGGCCGCGGCGCTTTCTCTCCCCTTGTGTTTAGCCTCCCAAAGCCCTTAATTAGGGCGGGCACAAAGCGCCCCCGCGGGCGCCCTTCGGCAGGGCATTACACGCCTGTTTTCTCCGATTTGAGCCGCGGCGGCGGCGGGAGGGGGCTCAGGGCGGCCCGCGCCGCCTCCGCGGATCCGCAAACTCCGGAGCGCGGGGGCGTTCCGACCCGAAACGGCACTGCCGGCACGAGGGGAAGGCGCCGAGAGGCCCCGGCGTGGGAATCCTCCAGGCACGGGGCCGCTTGTGGCGGGGACATCCCCACGGCTCGAGCGCCCAGCGCCGACAAAACGCCCGGGAAGTGGGAGAACGGCAACGGGGGGTTGCAGTCGGGAAGAAGGAAAGAAGCTTTTTCCAAGAGCTTTCCCTGAAAGCCGCTGAGATCTTCAAAGGAGCCCCACTCCAGCGAGAAATGGGGCGGCACCGCTTGCCGTCGCACGCCAGCGAGGCCAAAGGAGCAGGAATCACTACTGATTTCCCCGAGAAGGTGAAATATCCGCTCAGTTTCACACCATTCCGGATTTCCCACGTAGATTTCCATTGCCCGGCGGTCCCAAGCGAGGCGGCCAGCCGGGCGCTGCACGGCCCTGCAGGAACTGCGGGACCCGCGGCCACGGCCGGGATCGCGGCTCGTCGAGCCGGGTCACGCACGTGGGATCAGCCCCGCTCCAACACAAGCAGCAGGGATGGGACGGGGACGCCCGAGAGGGACGTCCGCGATCCCGGAGCCGCGTCCTCCTGCCTCCCTTCACCTGAGCGATGCACTGCAAGAAGGCGACGGCACTCGCGTGGGGAAAGCTAAAGAGAGCAGGGCCAGAACAGCACGTGTTGGGGGGAGACCAGCAGGCCACATCCGCTCCGAATTGGAAGAGGCTGCACCTACTTATCACCAATATTTGTGTGTTTATTCAGAATTGGTGACCAGACACGAAGCAGGGCCCAGACCGCCCGCAGCCAGCAAGGGCTTGAAAGGATTTCAGCACAGAAATGACCTGCTCTGTTGGCGGCAGTCTTCACCATTCCCTTTTCCTGATTTCTGCGTTACCTGCTCGGTTCCGTTCCACGACACCCAAATTACGACAGCAAAGTCGACACGGACCCTATGGTCCTTGTGGCATCGAATTAGCCAAGAGCAGGAGATGCCCTCACTCAAAGCATTTTTTTAAAGGGGGTTTTGAGCAACAAAGTCCATTCAAAATAACTGATTCCTTGCCCTGGATATTCAAGAAAGGTAGCATCTCCACTAAACAGCCCAGAGCCGGCAGGTTTGCCCTTGGGAAAGGCATGAGTTTCCTCTACACCCAGCAAGACTTCCACTAGTTCTGTAAAATATTAACAGTTTGGTCAACACTGGCACATAGGGTTTATTTATGTTTTATTTTTAAAGCAAGTGCTAAGAGCAACAGCAACAGGGAAAAAAGGTGCCAAAAGGCAGGAGCTTCGCAGACCTCCGTTAAGGAGCACGGAAGCAGGGAACCCCCGGCACATTTTCCACCCCGGTTCCACAAGATATCCCATGTGCTGCCTGTGTCCATGGCCTCCTGCCGGGGCCAGGGACTCGAGTGCAGCTAGGTGGATGCCCGGAAGGGGAAGCTCCCAAACACACACGGAATAAATACATAGGAACGAGCAGCCGGCGCGCGGCGTTGCACAAGGCGGGGGCCGAGGCGGGCAGGTCGGGGCCTCCCCTGCATTCCTCCCGAATTGCGCACTCCTCGCGAGCCACGGCCATTTTCCCCCATATTTTGGGTGAAAAACAAACAAAAAAGGACAAGAAGGCTGTGCAAGACTCAGCACCCCGCCAGCATGGGCTGGGGGAGAGGAGAGGGGAGGAACACAGAGGCCTTGGGCGCGCACGGAGAATAAGAGCTGGCATTTTCACGGGCCGGCAGAGAGAAGCCTTGGCGGCCGCTTCCCTCCCTCCTGAGGATTAAACATCAGCCCCGGCCATCAGAAAGGGAATAAATAAACAGGGAAATAAACAAACAAACAAGAGAGAAGTTTTCTTCCTTCCCAAGGGCAGCACCTTCCGCATAACTGAAGCAGGACTTGCAGGAGCCAGGCAATTGTGCTTGAGACAGCGACACAGCCCTCAAGTCCCATAACGATTCTGCTAGCCCTGAAGAATGAATGGGTTTTAACGTTTTTTTTTGAACTTTGGGTCAAAAGTTAATTAAGAAAATAAAATCGGGCTCAAGAACTACTTTAATTACCTTTGCTGTGTCAAAACCTTGAGGTTCTGCTGTCAAAATCACGAGCCACTGTCTGACCTACTAGCAGGTAACAAGCTGACAAAACAACCTAATTAAATGGGTAATTATCAATACTAAATTTGGAGAAGAAAATACTGGCACGTTAGCCACCATATTTCAGCAGCGGGTCTCCCATGCTGTAAGCTATTTCACAGCACACTAAGAAACATGTAGCTATGTTTAAAATTGCTGTCATTTCAGAAATGAGAGCGCCTTCTTTCTGAAGCAGTTAAAGATGTATTGCTTTATCTGCTCGGTACTTTTCAGGTGGGTTTACACACGGGCCTTCATCAAGGAGAACTGCAAAAAGCAGGAAGCTCAATAAGGAACCTATTTTACTGATATCCTTCCACCAAGGCCACCATTCCTGCGAGAGGGCATCAAGTTAAATGACCAAGAAACACTGAACAACCTGCTCTTTTAATTAGAATTAATTTTCAAAGTTTAAGGAACTTAAAAGTATAACTCAACCCCAAATATGCCGTATGATGGAACAGCCCACCGAACAAAAACATGATTTCCCTATAATAAATAGAGGCGTTAAAATAATAACAATGAAGTAATTTTCATTTTCCAAGTCATTTCACCCGTGCAGAAGCCCCAAAGCCACCTTTGCCCATGTGGCTCCCTACAAACGGGGCAGGAGGAGGAATCCGGCCCCATCCACTCGCAAACCCCCTGGAGCCCCCAACCCGGCGCGATTCCCACCAGGACGGTGCGATGGGAAGGAGGAGGACGAGGCCGGAGCGGGAGCCGGGCGCACAACCCTCG